GCTAGATGGTGGGGAGTGGAAAGTTGTAGCCTACCGAGGCCTGGTGGCGTCGGCTGCTGCGTGGAGAAGACAGCAGCACTGTCCGACCTCAAAACATGCACAACAAGCGGGATTTGTGACTCTGTCCTCGATTCTTCAGTCGCTCTGCCGGACGCGCTCGCTTTGTCGCGAGGGTCACCAGTGCAAGCCGTGTGGACGCCCAGAATAGCCTCCCCTGGCTTAGCTAGAGTGAGAGATATTGTGCACGTGGTCAGCCTCTACAATATATACACTGACACTTTACCTCCCAGAGCTCGTCTAGGTCCGCCACGGCCATCCTCAGCCTCCAGAGGGCCCCCGGCCGCGGCGCGGTGCGGCGGCGTCACAAATCCGACGTCAGTTCACCGGGACGCGATCGGGCGATCTGAAGTCCAACTAGGCGTATGGATTGTCCGCCCAGGGCTATCACCTGGACCCCTCAATGGACGCCTGCGGTGCCGCCCCCACGAGGTGTTGTTCACACCTGTCCAACCATTCGTGCAGCAGGAACGCGCTGTGTGTGGCTGGCAGCAAACTCAAATGACGACGGGTTGCAGCCTCGTAGCTCAACGGCAACATTGTGCATGAGGAAGGCTGATAGAAGTATCACCAGCCACACAACCAACAGCTTCTGGAGAGTATGCGGAGCGCAAGCAGCCGGTGATCAAAGGCGTGTTGCTGTCGGTGGCAGATTGCCAGAGGGACGCCGGCGCCTCGGTGCGTGGCTTCGTCACAATTTTCCACCGCTCAACTTGGAGGCAGTGTGTCTAGTAGCGTGCTACACCTATGACGGCGGACCTCACTGGGGCGCCGACGTGCGACGACCGTCTGGGATCGAAAGACGAAACCGCGTCCCAGGAGCTCGTGCAGAGCGCGCTCCGGAGCTCGGTGGCGGGAAATTTGAAGGGAACGTGGTGGCTTCCCACCGCCTCTGTATGTGCCCAATAAAGTGCTAACACGACCCTCGGGCAGCAGGGGGTATGTGGCGAGCGCACGGAGGCACAGTTAGGCCGCCGTGATATCGCCCTTCCGGGCACCCCGTTTCGGTAGCCGTTTAGGGGTTAAATGCCGGCCTCTCTACTGTGGACCTAACTCCGAGCTCGAAGGCTCCTCCTATTCCCCCAGACCCCCCCTCCCCCCCCACTCTCTCCGAGTAAGGGCGTGCGCTACGTCCCCAAGGGGGGGGGGGACGTGAGGGGGAGGTGTGACGCTTAGGCTGTAGCGTTTGGGTTTTTGTGGGGCACCCAAACGGTTTCGGTTTTCCTCCTCCGACACCGACCTCCGCCTTGGCAGATCGAAGCCTAGCGGCACAGGGGCGCTCGACGGAAGCACGGGCTGCTCCTCTGCCGGTACTCCGCAGTGGTGGCCCTTCTTCGGAAGCCCGCAGCGGCGGCACAGGTAGCCCTGGCTGCTTGGCCTAGCGCTGCCAGCCGCCTTAAAGGCGGCCTTGCTGATGCGGGTCCAGCGGTTTCTGGTCGAGCTCTTCGAGCGGGCGGGCAGCAGCTCGGCGATCTTCTTCCACTGGTGGCCGAGCGTTTGGACGAAGCTGTGCAGGAGGGCGTCCTCCTCGGCGCTCCACGGCTGGTCTATGCTGGAGCCAGCATAGAAAGAGCCAGCATGATCGAACGAAGGGAGACAGGGAATTTGCTGCGCCACGGCCGCGTGGTGGGCTTCGCGATGACGTTGGTCAGCTGAGTCAGCTGCTCCGGCACGAGCGAGCTGCTTCGGGTGGACGATGACGCATGCCGAGAACTATCGCGCACGCCGACGGGCGCGCCAGGGGGCTGGAGTCTATGAGAGGATCTGGGCATTTGAGTCGCCGTCGCGCCGACAATGGGGATGACGATGACTTGTGACGACTCGGCGTCATTTTTTTAAAAATGTGGGTAAACGGACGTAGATGTACGAAAGTGCCTCGCCGAGAACGCCGTCGAGGTGGCGCGCGCAGCACAGGGCAAAGTCAAGGCACTCGCTGGGCGCGACGGGCTGTTCTTCTGCCCGACCTTCAACCAGTCGGCTTACCTCCTTTTCTTTCCCTGTGTGGTTGCGCTCTGTGCCATTCTCCCAGACTCTGTATCTGAGCCTCAGGAGAAGAACATGATTGACCCGCGCCAGCCGTGTCCGGGCGGCGAGACGCCCGGCGTTCAGGCATGCCAACCGTAAACGAGTTGTCTTGTACTACTTATGGATTGATGGACCTGCAAACGAAAGAGCAGCAACGGCTTTGGCGATAGATCAAAACGTCCGTGAAGAGATGAACAGCGTGTTACTCGATTGCGAGAGAGTGAGCGCGAGACGCTGCAAGGCCGAGGCGCTGCTGAGCACCGACACACTGACAGTGATCCGAGCTCTCCTGCGCCCTGACAACACGGCTCCGCACCACCGTCACAGGTCACAGCCACCACTTTGCACTTATCTTTCGCGCATCCAAGTCGCTCGTCAAAAAATTCCATGCACCTGCACATGCACATCTCATGCACATGCACATGCGTGTGGTGGGGTGGGTTCTTTAGCTCCGAGTAGAGGGTGGCGTTCTGCAGTGTTAGGAGCCCCCTAGCATGTTTTCTTTACGTACTTTGGCCCCTTCCCTGCGACCTGTCATGTGAGAAGATGTGTGTCGACTGACCGCGCAGCGTGTCGCCCATGTGGTGTCGCCGCTGTCGCGTGTCGTGCGTGTCCGGCGACCTCCGCCGAGCCTCCGCGCAGCGACGACAGAGCGTGCCCCCCCCCGCCCTGCATTCATAGAACCCACATTCACACCGCAAATGGCTAAAGAAACGGCGAGGCACCAATCCGACCAAACGCCACGCAAGGCTCGGCGGGGCCGTCGCACACCGCGCTCGCGCGGGTGGCACACGCCCACAGCACCAGCGTCCGCCGCGCGCCGCGCGTGACGCGCCGCACGCGGTGGAAGACCTCTCGCGCGCAAAAGACCGCGGCGCTGTTGGCGTCCGGGCGCAGCGCCGTCACCTGCCCGCCCTCGCCCCTCCTCAGCTCGAATTCGCCGCCTCCGTACTCGTCGGGCCGGCTGAGGAAGAGCACGAGCGAGAGCGACTTGTACGCCGTCTCGCACTCCACCTCGTCCACGTGGAAATGCTCAAAGTGGTCGCCTCGGTGGTACCGGTTGTACTGCACCGACGTGCAAAAAGCTCTCTGAGGCAGGGCCCCGCCCAGCGCAGCGTCTCCGCGCCGCAACGCCGCCACGAGCGGGCGGAAGAGCCAGCCAGTGTCGAGGAGCGGGTCCGGCGGCTCGTCGCCGGCAAACGACGGCGCGCCGTCGGCAGAGACGGAGTAGTGGACCACGGTCGTCGTCGCCAGCTTGAAGCCGGCGATCTCGGGGTCCCTGACTGCCGAGCGGTCGAGCTGCTCGCAGAGGGCGATCACGCGCGCGAGCTCCGACGGCGTGAAGACGCCGTCCAAGAGAGCCCAAGGCGGCGCCTCCGGCCGTGCCGCCTTGGGCACGGGCGACCTCCGAGGCGGCTCGTCCGCCCTCGGGCGGCGGGGGCGGCGGCGGGGGACGTCGATGTCTCCGTCCGAGTCCTCTCCGAAGCAGCCAGCAGCGTCTCTCTCGCCTGAGCAGCGCGAGCACGCGCGAGCATCGGCATAGGCGTGCACCACCGCCGCCGCCGTCTCGGCGGCCGCCCTGCGGGTGGTGTGCACCCACTCGAGCAAGTCGCCTTCCCGCAGCGCCGCCGCGCGCCGCACGAAGGCCGTGTTGGGCAGCTCCTCCGCCACACGCCCAACCTCAACGGAGGCGCAAGCGACGCGTTGCTCGAGGCCGCGCCGCAGCGACGCGGGGAAGGCGGCGAGTGTGCGCTGCCAGCCCGGAGAGTGGGTGGGCGACCCGTCCTCCCAAACAGGTGGCACGTCGAGCAACAGCAGCGACGTCTCCGCCGGGAGGGCGCTGCGCAGCCAGCGGATCTGCGCCGCCACCACGACGCCGCTCAGCAGCCGCGCGTCCGTGAGCTCCTCTCTGCGGGGGGTGCCGTGGCTGACTCTCCACAGCTCAGCCCACGCCGCTACCAGAGGGCAACGGCAGCGAGGCAGCGCGTGCTGCAGATCGACCGGTAGCAGCAGCGTGCCGCCGCCATCGCCGCCGCCGCTACCGCCGCCGCCGCCGCCGCCGCTGCAAGTGGCGACGGGCCACAGAAGCTCACGCTCCAGGTCCCACACGACCACGTCGTACTGCCCGCCGCGCATCGCACCCTGCTCGCGCTCGAAGAGGCGAGGCGACCGCGCCGCAGCCGCAAGTCCCTCCTCCCCTGCCTCCCTCGCCTCCTCCCTCGCCGCCTTCTCACCCGCCTCCTCGCCTGTCTCCCCCACCTCCTCCGCCTCCTCCGCCGCCGCCTCCGCCGCCGCTGCCTCCTCCCCCACCTCCTCTGCCTCCTCCCCCGCCTCCTCTGCCGCCCTCGCAGCGGCAGCCTCCACCTCGCGCTCAATCGCGGCGGCGGCAGCGGGCGAGGAGCAGTACTGGCGAAGGGCGAGCAGCGAGCCGACGGCGAAGCGCTCGTACTCGTCGGTCGCCTGACCAAGGGATGGCCGGCTGATCACGCCTTCCTTCATCCGACGCACATGGGGGGGGGGGGCTCATGCTCGCCGCTCGCCATCTCCCCATATCTCCCCACATCTCCCCATGTCTCATGCTCGCCGCTCGCCATCTCAACCGCCCAGCCGCGACCCTCGAGCAGGCTGCCGAGCGGCGCGAGGCTGCAGTAGCCACACGCGAGTGCGCGCGGCGGCGCCCCCCCCGCAAAATCGGCCCCCCCGCAGCCCGCCGCCATGGGCTCGGCCGCCTCCTCCCCCGGCACACGTCCACGACACGTCCTCGACACGTCCTCGAGCTCGACCTTCACATGGCTCGCTCGCTGCCGCAGCAGCGCCTCGTGCTGCTGCGGCGGCAGCGCACCGGCGGGCGGAGGGAGGAGCGCGTGCGAGGCGAGGAGGCGCTGGTAGACGGCGGCCTGATGGGAGCGGGTCGAGGCAGATGACAGGAGGGCGGCGATACGGAGGCGCTGTTTGGCGGGCGGTGTCCTCGACGTGGAGCCCGAGCAGGTCGTATCTCCCCATATCTCCCCATATCTCCCCATACCTCCCCACATCTCCCCATATCTCCCCACATCTCCCCATATCTCCCCATATCTCAGGCGTCCTCGACGTGGAGCCCGAGCAGGCGGCACGAAAAAAGAAAGTGGCGCAGCGCGCCGCGCCGGACGGCCACGAGTCCCGCCAGGCCGTGCTCTCCGAACCTGTCCGACACGTACACCTTCCACGCGAAGCTCTCGAGCCCGCCGCCCCGCCCGCCTCCCGCGCGGTCTGGCGCGAGCAGGTCCGTGTCGCGCTCGAGCAGCTCCCAGTACCAGCCCCGCCTGCGGGCATGCTCACGGAAGGCTCCGTGCAGGCTCCGGGAAGGTGCGGGGTGGTCCGCCCCCAGCGGCAGCCTCGCCTCCGCCGCGTGTAGTTGAGCCGGTTCGTCCGCTGCGTCAGCGCCACGAGCCGGTCGAGGTCCTAGGAGGAAGGCTCCAGGAAGGTTCCAGGAAGGTTCCAGGAAACTGCGTCAGCGCCACGAGCCGGACGAGGTCCTATAGGAGCGCCGTCGACGTGTCGCGGGCTGCTCGTGGTAAGGGTGACTCCCCTCCGTCCGTCGAGCTGCCTCGTCGCTCGCGCCCCGCAGCGGCCTCAGCCGCACAACCACCTCGCAGCTGTCGAGGAATCGCTGCGCAGCGGCGTCACCCGCCCCGGCCTGCGACACGGCCGCCGCCTCTGCCCGCCGCCGCGCCTCGAGCAGGCGGTACTTTTGCAGCCGGGAGCAGCCCGGGTCGGCGCTGCCGCACCGTCTCAGGGCCGACTCTGGCGGGAGGAGCGAAGGAGCGCACGTCAGCAGGCCGGGCAGCGCGGCGGCGGCTGCCGCACGGTGCCGCGGCTCGTCGTCGCAGAAGAGCGCGTTGGCGGGAGACAGCCCGGCCGCGGAGAGCGTGGCGCGGATGGCGGCGGGCTTGGAGAAGGCCGAGTCGAACGAGATTGCGGGAAAGACGATGAGTTCCCACACGCCGAGCCGCTGCAGCGCCGCACGAGCGCGCTCCTCGTCGTTGAACGAGCAGACCGACGACACGATGCCTCGCTGAGCGAGCAGACGAATGAGCGGCGCGAGAGAGCCGTCGGCAAGGTCATCGTCAGCGTCCGCCTCGTCGAGCGTGCCGCGCCACAGTGTGCCGTCCAGATCCCAGATGACCATCTTGACGTCGCCGTCGCATAGCGCGGCGGCCGCCATGCCGGACGAAGGTTGCGCAGTGGAGCGGCCGCTGCGCGGTCAAGTGTCTCGTCCACAGTGTCTGGCGTCCACGCTCGGCTGCTCGTTAGATGTTCGCGCCGCCCCGTGGGAAAGCTGGGAAGCCTGTGCGCGTGGCTCCCAACAGACGCAGACGCCGGGGAGAGCAGCACCGTGGGCGACGACGTGGTTATTAACGGAGGAGGTACAACCATCCCACTCGACGACATCGGTGATGGGGCCTCTAGCTACGCCGATGACCCACCCGACTCTCCCGAAAACAGACCGCCGCCTAGCGCCCCGCCCTCGCAGCCTAAAGCCCCAGTCGTGGAGCATGGGGTGGTATGGATTTCATACACGCCGAGCGCGCAGGCGCGACACATCGGAGACAACAAGGGGATCCGACGTGAAAGAGCTATCGACATTGACGTTGACCCAGCCGATTCCACCGATGTCGACGTCATCACCTCCGCGGCTACCGCGCTTTCGCTCGACGACACCGTGGAGAATCGCACCGAGGACCTTGCCGAGGCGATAGGCCGAATCACTTTGGGCCCCGACCCCGCCCCCACCCCTCGGGGTGGGGGCACCCGCCCCTGTCGGGCACCGCTTGCGGCGCCTGTCAGGGGCACCCCCTGGGTGGGGGCCGGCGATTCCCATGCCGGCTCTCCGCCACAACCCCCGCCGGGAGGGAATCCCTGCTCACAGAAAAGGGCTTCGAGCCCTGTCTCGCGCACGCCCCTGGCGGGCGCCGCGGACCAGTTCCGCGAGCGCTCGTCAGCGGGTGGTGTGCGGTTCTTGCCGTAGTTCCTCTTCGGTCGCCTAGCCCCGGCGCCGTCTGTCGGACGCCTGCGTGTCACGAGTGCGAGCCGCTCGCGGTTCGTACACCCGCTTGCGGGTTCGAGTGGCGGGCCATCCCGCTTGCGGGATGGCTTAGCGGGTTCGAGCCGTCACACATTGGCTGCCGGGGTGTGCCGAGGGGGGGCTGGGTGGGCGGTAAGCCGTCATTGCCCGGGGCTGCTTGCAGCGCTCTGGGTGGTAGTGGCGGCGCTCCAAGAGTGGTGCTCTTGGGAAGAGGTTCCTCCTTTCCGCTCCCCCCCCGCAAGGCGCGAGACACACACACACAGTGTGGGCTACCGTGGGGGCAAACCCCGCAAAGTGACCCGTTTTTACCCACCCACGGCCGTGCGCGCGTATCTTAGCTAAGGTACGCGGCCACACGCGCTGGCGCGCACGGCAACCGGGACTTACACGCGCGACACGAGGGACTGCGTATCCTCGCCTGCCTCGGGGGAGAATAGCCGCCCTCACCCGCTGGCGTTCATCGAGCTCGGCGGGGCCTTATACGTGTCATTCTGTGCCGGCGCGTATCTTAGCCAAGATACGCGGCCACACGTGCAGACGCGTATAGCGGTACTCGCGCCCACACGTACGTGCAGCCGCCTATCTTGGCCAACAAAGGCGGCTGCACTCGCAGCCGCGTACCGCGTGACATACACGCCCACGCATGGGGCGCGTATGTTCCCCTAGATAGGCGCCCACACGTGTAGCCGCGTATGTCAACATCCCTCTGTGCACGTGCCAGCGCGAGTCGCCTTCGCCGACGGGCCGTTTCACGCGCTCACGTCCGCCTTTGTTGGCCAAGATAGGCGGCTGCACGTGTGGCGCGAGTACCGCTATACGCGTCTGCACGTGTGGCCGCGTATCTTGGCTAAGATACGCGCCGGCACAGAATGACACGTATAAGGCCCCGCCGAGCTCGATGCGCGGCACAGCGGGTGAGGGCGGCTATTCTCCCCCGAGGCAGGCAAGGATACACAGTCCCTCGTGTCGCGCGTGTAAGTCCCGGTTGCCGTGTGCGCGCGCGCGCGTGTGGCCACGTACCTTAGCTAAGATACGCGCGCACGGCCGTGGGTGGGTAAAAACGGGTCACTTTCGACTTTGCGGGGTTTGCCTACAGGGGGTTGCGGGCATTAAGAATTTTACAACAGCTACCTCGCACAACACTGGGCACGGGACTGGCGGGCATTAAGAAAAAAAATTGCGTGTTAGAAAAACGGGCACGCATAGTCTCCCCCCTCCATTCTCTCCCCCTTGGCGGATCCCCCCAGCCCGTAACCTGCCCATATGTGCGCATATGCGGGAAGCTGGCCGCCGATCCTAAGTGCTAGGACCCATCGTCCAGGGCTTGCTAGATCGCGCGGGGCGAATGAGTGATGAAGTTAGTGCCTTGGTGTCCGTCTCCCATGGACTCGCTTTCCCCCCGACTCGCGTCAGTCGGGGGTACTCCCGCTACTCTGGCACTCGGGTCTCCCCCCCCCCCCCCTCCTTCCCTCACCGGGAAGAGATGCGCGCTGCTGTCTCTAGAAGGGGGTCGGGCGGAGAGGGCTGTTTCTTCCTTCGTGGTGGCGTGGCGCTGTTCACGGCCACCCACGGACGATCGATGGAGTGGGCCGAAGGACATCGGGTATAGAATTGTGTGCCGTTAGCGTGCTACCGATACTATAGGAATTATGCAGTTTCCCTCCTCAACCTAATTCCTACACGCGCAACGACACGTACACCACTCTCCAATCGTTCTCTGGAAAGCCGTAGACCCTAGGCTACTAGTACGGTACTAGTACTACGGGTAACGTCTCAGTGTACGAGATGTATGTAGGGAGTATTCGCAAAGAGGAGCCCCGCGCACGCACGACTCCGCAGGAGAAACCCCTCCCCAGACAAAACACAAGGGAGAGGTGGGTGGGCCACAGAAAGACTGCGGCCGCCAGCAACTGACTACTGAGCGTCTCGCTGGCGGACGGGGAGAACACAACGAAGGCGGGACGTCCGAAACGCAACACAAGAAGGGACGCACCACGTATCCATCACCGGCATGAGATCGGGAGATACACATATCTGCCGAATATCTCCCGCTGGCATAGTTTATTTGTCGCCGATCTGCAGCGGTTAGAACCTCGCGACTGGCAGGTAGCCGCCCATCGGAGCGCCGCCTCGCCGGGGTCTCGGCTCTGACGAGCCATGCTAACTCCGGCCGCAGCCCCGCCCAGCCGCCCTTAGTTCGTCCCGTCAGTAGAGAAGACTAATCCTGGGGGAAGCAACCTTCTCTGGTAGAACAGGTACGAGATGTATGTAGGGAGTATTCGCAAAGAGGAGCCCTGCGCACGCACGACTCCTCCGCAGGAGAAACCCCTCCCGCCCGTGCTTGCGCAGCGCAGCCTCCTCCTCCCTACGCGCAAGTTGGGCATGAGGATGATGGCGATTATGTCGTGACGCTCGCCAATCAGCCATGATGCAAACGCAGATGACTACGGACAGATGCCGATGGGCGATGGTGATAAGAGCTCACCCCTGAGAGACGCGCCGAGTTGTCTCGCCGCGCCGCTGTTGATGACGGTACCTCGCGCGTCCGCTATGCGGTGCCGCGAGCTTCCGCTTGTGTATGGAAACCGATGGTGCCTCGCGCGTCCGCTATGCGGTGCCGCGAGCGTCGTTTCCAGCGACGATGGTACCTCACGCGTCCGCTGCGCGGTGCCGTGAGCTTCCTTCCGTCGCCGAGGCGGCGCTCGAGACCTGCAGGAAGGGTCAGGGAAGGGTCGGAGAAGTCTCGCGGACACTTCCTCCGGCGGAGGCGGCGGCGAGGCTCACTCGAGATATGGGGAGATATGGGGGAGATATGGGGGAGTGTGCGGCGAGGTTCACTCGCTGCCGCTTGGCGCGGCGCGGAGACGGAGAGGCGAGGGCGGTGCCTGCGGGCGGGCGGGAGAGTGCGGTGCGGCCGGGCGGCGGTGCGATGCGCCACTGCGAAGTTTTCGAGAATGGCAGCGGACATACCCCCCCACCCTTTTGGCCCTGAATATACCATACCTTACCCCGCAAAAAGGTCGAATCCAGCACTCCTCGAGCACCAGTCAGCCACCCCTACGGCAGGCCGCTTCTGAATCTCGGTTGTACCGAGAGGGACACTCATGAAGCGCTTCCTCCTGCTGCTCGTCAGCTGCGCACGCCGTGCGTAACCTTGCCCACCTCCAGATGAGCCCACCTCCAGCAGCCGCGTGGATCACCGCCTCTGCGTGTGCCGCAGGCGTGTTCGCCCAAACACCTTGCGAGTTAAATATCTGCAACGGCGGTATCGACGAGAGTGGACACCTCGACTGCTCGTCCGAGACCTCCATTCCCCCGGTGCGCCCGCCCATCCAGCTCAAAAGCAGCACTCGCTACCCCCCACGCTCGTCCGGCGCGCTCCACGCCGGGACCCGCACTCCCTTGCTTCGCAGGGGGCCTTTCAAGAGTGCAATGGTTTCAACAGAGGTCGCTATGTGGGGACCCATGGGCTGGATGGAAAGTACATCGGTGTCAAGTCCGTCACGTTCGGGTCGAGCCTCGAGAACATCGGCGCGAACGCCTTCGACGGTTCGACGCTTGCCGGCAACCTCGACCTGAGTGTCGCAACCAACCGCGTCACCATCGCCACTGTGCGCGCTCCGCCCCCTGCCCTCCCGCTTTCTCCCGACGCCCAAACGCGAGCCGCCACGCCCCCCGCCCTATCGCTGCAGCAAGCCTTCCGCTATAACACCGACATCACCTCCGTCACCTTCGGGCCGAGCCTCGAGATTAGAAACTGGGCCTTCTACGGCTGCACGAAGCTCACCGGCACCCTCGACCTGACCAACGCAACAACACTCGATTTGGGCAATGTGCGCCCCCCCCCTCCTCCCCTCCCGCTTTCTTCCGACACCCCACGCCAGCCGCCACGCACCGCCCGCGCTGCAGGACGTCTTCGGCAGAACCGAAATCACGAAGGTCCTCCTTGCGTGCGGCGAGTCCGTCAGGATTGGGGCCAACGACTTCCCGGCGGTGGGCACGATCGTCAAAACCTGTCCGCCGGCATCGCCTCCCTACTCTCCGGACAAGGCGCCCAAGCCGACGCCGGCCTCGCCCTCCCCGCCGCCGCCGTCGGCTCCGCCCTCCCTGCCGCCGCCATCGGCCTCGCCGTCCCCGCCGCCGCTCCCGCCGCCGCCACCTTCGGCCTCGCCGATATCAGCAGCTCGACCACCTGCTCGTGGCCTCCAAAAGCGGCGCCCATCAGCGCGGTGTAGCTGTTGCTGCTCTGCAGATTGACCTCCGCGCCGTGCTGTAGCAGCAGCCCTAACATTCGCTCGTGGGCTCCGATTGCGGCGCGCATCAGTGCGGTGGTGCCGTTGCTGTTCTGCAGGTTGACCTCAGCGCCGTGCTGCAGCAGCAACTCGACCACCCGCTCGTGGCCGTGGTGGGCGGCGAGAATCAGCACAGTGCAGCCGACGCTGTCCTGCAGGTTGATCTCTGCGCCGTGCTGTAGCAGCAAGTCGACCACCCGCTCGTGGCCGTGGTGGGCGGCGAGAATCAGCGCGGTACCGCCGTCGCTGTTCTGCAGGTTGACCTTCGCCCCACGCTGCAGCAGCAAGTCGACCAGCCGCCCGTGTCCGTGGTGGGCGGCAACCATCAGCAGCGTGACAGCACAGATCACAGAACTGGTGAGGTGTGGGCTATTCTCTCGCCGCAGAAGGTGCGCACGCACCGTCGGTGTCTGGGACATAGGTGAGCGTCTGCCACAGCGGCATCACTGTGTACGCCACGAACTTGAGCGTGATGGTGCGCGAGCGGCCCGACGGGAGGAAAGGTGAGATACTGCTGGATGAGCGCGGGCCACTCCTTCTTCGCGAAGGCCAGCAGCGTGTGGTTCTGCGGGTCGACGGCGGCGTGGAACTCGTCGTCGCCCTCAAGCTTGAAGCCGGGCGGCGCTGCCACATGCTCCACCTTGGCCGCCGCGGAGACGTGCACCATGACGCGGTGGATGATGCTCGCGTAGAGGAGCTTCGTGGCGAGCGGCGGCCGCTGAAGCGTCACATGGCGGGCTGGGTGAGCGAGACGCTCGACGAGGAGGGCGTGCGGGCTCCGGCCGGCTTCGTCTACCTCGGCCACTCGCTGCGCTCTGGCGGCTCGAGCGCCGCGGAGGCCATCCGGCTGCCCCGCTTTCGGGGCAACTGGCTCGGCGGCTGGTCTCAGAACGGCCGGACACGCGAGCTTCACTACATGGACCCGTCGGTGCTGCCGTCGCCCGAGGCCTACGAGCTTCTCGGCTGGCTCCTGGACGGATCCTACCAGGCGCTTCCACCGTCGTGGGAGCGCCGCCGCGGCGCTGCTGACACAGCGGAGCCTGGCGAGCCGACGAGCTAGCTCCCTCGTCACACACGCGCACGGACGCATGGAGATCCACACGCGCGTGCCACACACACACACACACACACACACACACACACACACACACACACACACACACACACACACACACACACACACACACACACACACACACACACACACACACACACACACACACTCCATACGCGAGCCCGCTCTCGCTCCGCCGCTCGTGCGCCCCGCGCATGTCGGCTTTCTCATGCCTCCAGCCTCCGAGCGCCCACCTCGGGCGCTCGGGCGGTTGGGGATTGCATATCGGTTCCCTGGGCGTTCACTAGCGCTCGCTTGTGGGTGAGAACGGCGTTCTCTGGGTAAGCTCAGCTGTGAACTTCCCAGTTGTTTGCTCTCCCTCCCTCCCTTACCCTGTTCATGACTTGCTAGCGGGACCTGAGTATTGTATAAAAATACTGTAAGGCATATCGGTTCCCTGGGCGTTCACTAGCGCTCGCTTGTGTGAATTTTGAGCGCCAAGCGAAGATTCCTTTGCCAATCGCGAAGTGTGTGTGTGAGTGTGTGTGTCAGCTGCAGCTGTGAAGATGTTGGAGCTGTTCCTTACCAACAACCAGCTGAGGTCGGTGGAGGGCCTCGAGAAGCTGACGCAGCTGCAGACGCTACACCTCAACAACAACCAGCTGACGTCGGTGGAGGGTCTCGAGAAGCTGTCGCAGTTGCAGTACCTGGACCTCAACAACAACCAGCTGACGTCGGTGGCGGGCCTCGAGACGCTGACGCAGCTTCAGAGGCTGTACCTCAACAACAACCAGCTGACGTCGGTGGAGGGCCTCGAGAAGCTGACGCAGCTGCAGACGCTGCGCCTCTCCAACAACCAGCTGACGTCGGTGGAGGGCCTCGAGAAGCTGACGCAGCTGCAGTTCCTGACTATCATGAACAACCAGCTGACGTCGGTGGAGGGCGTCGAGAAGCTGACGCAGCTGCAGCAGCTGGCCCTCGACAACAACCAGCTGACGTCGGTGGCGGGCCTCGAGAAGCTGGAGCAGCTGCAGAGGCTGCACCTCCACAACAACCAGCTGGCGTCGGTGGAGGGCCTCGAGAAGCTGACGCTGCTGTTTGAGTTGCACCTCCACAACAACCAGCTGGCGTCGGTGGAGGGCCTCGAGAAGCTGACGCAGCTGCAGGCGCTGCGCCTCTCCAACAACCAGCTGGCGTCGGTGGAGGGCCTCGAGAAGCTGACGCAGCTGCAGGCGCTGCGCCTCTCCAACAACCAGCTGACGTCGGTGGAGGGCCTCGAGAAGCTGACGCAGCTGCAGTTCCTGACTATCATGAACAACCAGCTGACGTCGGTGGAGGGCGTCGAGAAGCTGACGCAGCTGCAGCAGCTGGCCCTCGACAACAACCAGCTGACGTCGGTGGAGGGCCTCGAGAAGCTGACGCGGCTGCAGAGGCTGAGCCTCGACAACAACCCGCTAGCCACCATCCCGCGAGGCGTTGCCTCGCTCCGCTCGCTAACCGCGCTCGCCATCGACAGCGCGCAGCAGCGCGCCTTCCGCTCACGCCTGCGGTCTCTTGCTCCTGGGGTGGTGCGGCTACGCGAGGGTTAGCCCGTTAGTGTGTGTCCTCCGCTATCGGGGTCGTGTGGCAGGTCGCAGGACCAGGAGTGTGGAGACGGCGGACCCCCCCCGCGCTTGTCTCGCGGAGAGACCGCGCTTCTCTTTTACGTCGTACTGGGAGGGCAACCACGTACCGTGGAGTTTCTAGTGGCGTGCGGGTACTGTACTTTTTACATTCAGCCGTGCTGTTGGGCAGTGTGCGCACGATCGTCAGTCACGAAAGTAGTCACGAGTCAGGGCGCCGTAACAAGGCGCGAGAGGGCCGCACGCATGCGTGCACCGCCTGCTGCGTGCCTCAGAGCGCCCCTCTCACTCAACCCGCGCCACCTCAGGCGAACGCGCCCGCGCCGCGCGGCGCCGGCAGCCAGTACTCCATCGGCTGCCGGCCGCGCGCGCCCGTCCGGCGGCGCCGCCGGCAGACGTGCGCCTTGTCGTACAGGCCCTTGAGCGCGAAGCCGCAGCCCGCCGTCAGCGGCGTGAAGCCCGGCTGGCCGATGCGGTGCGGGTAGAGCAGGGCGAGCGCGCGCCGCACCTCCCGCTCCGTCATCGCGGACGAGGCCGCCGACTCGTTGGCCGGCCCCGCCGCCGTGCCGTACACGCCCCGCTGCGCGAGCATCTGCAGCATCAGCTGCGCAAAGCCCGAGAGCGTGGGCGCGGCGCGGCGCGAGCGGCGGGTGGTGCCGCTGCGGAAGTCGGCCGGCTCGCGCCCCTCCTTGATGTCGCTCAGGTTCGCGTGCACGTCCGCCAGGTCGCGCTCGATCGCGCCCGCGCCGCCCTGGAACATCGGCCTCGCCGCCAGCTGGATGAGCCGGCGCGTGTCGAGCGGCATGTCGATGTGCGCCGCCAACGCGCGGGCGATGCGCAGCAGGCGCGGGTGCGCGCCGACGTCGGCCACCTGCCGCTCGAACGCCCGCGCCTGCTCCCACTGCTCGTCCGCCAGCGCGGGCGCGTCTCCCGCCTCGACGCTCGCCTCGAGGCGGCGGAGGAGCTGCCGCCTCCCGGCGGCGTCGTTGAGGTCCGAGTCGAAGCAAGGCAGCTGGTTGAAGGTGACGTGGCCGGCGGTCATGTCCCAGACCAGCTCGGGGCAGAGCATCTTGATCTCGGTAAAGCCGTGCTGCGCGTGGAAGGCCGTGAGCGTCGTCGCCGCCCGCTGCGTCTGCTGGCCGGCGTCGGCGCCGTTGGCGGAGGAGGAGATGATGCCGTGCGTCACCGCGTTGAGGGGGCGCGTCTCGGTGGCGAAGATGTCGACGGCGACGATCGAGAGGCAGCGGCGGATCATGCTGTAGCCGACCACCGCCACCGGGATGCCCGGGAAGAAGTGGCGCACGAGGAAGAGGGCGATGCCGATGTGCTCGGTGCTGAGCGGCGACTTTCCCTTGCACGCCTCGGGCACGCAGGGGCGGTAGGTGCCCGTCTCGCGCGCCGCGCGCCGCTCGAGGTGGTGGATGAGCGGCAGCAGCGCCGAGACCGCGATCGCGCCCTCGTCGTCCATCTCCTCGGCGAGGCCGTCCGCTGCCTCGCCCAAGTCGCGCGCGAGCGTCCGGTCGGGCTCGACGCTGCTGGCGGCCAGCATCGCGTCGGCGAGCGCCTCGATCTTGTCGGCGCCGTCGTCGCAGGCGGGGCTGCTGAAGCGGAGGCCGAGCATGCCGAGGAAGGTCTTGTGCCCGCCGTGCACGAAGATGACCGCCATGCCCAGCGGCGCGAGCCCGGGCAGGGAGGCGTGCCCGTCGAGGCAGTCGAGGACGGTGCTCGCGTGCGTCTGCATGTTGTGCGGGACGCCGTTGTGGACGCGCGGCGTGGTGCAGTCGAGGATGCACGCGTAGGGCGTGTTTGCCACCTCGGACCACATCTCGAGCACCCCCTCGTTGACGTACTCGCTCGACGGGCCGGCCGCGACGAAGTTGTCGCTGCCCGCGAAGCGCGTGAAGCGGTCGTACCTTAAGGTACCCAATGTACTGCTGCGGCGTCGCGCGGCGGAAGCTGACGACGTCGAGCAGCTCGAAGAGGCGGCGCTCCGAGCGGAGGTGGCAGAGGCCGAGCCGCTCGAGGTGGTGGATGAGCGGCAGCAGCGCCGAGACCGCGATCGCGCCCTCGTCGTCCATCTCCTCGGCGAGGCCGTCCGCTGCCTCGCCCAAGTCGCGCGCGAGCGTCCGGTCGGGCTCGACGCTGCTGGCGGCCAGCATCGCGTCGGCGAGCGCCTCGATCTTGTCGGCGCCGTCGTCGCAGGCGGGGCTGCTGAAGCGGAGGCCGAGCATGCCGAGGAAGGTCTTGTGCCCGCCGTGCACGAAGATGACCGCCATGCCCAGCGGCGCGAGCCCGGGCAGGGAGGCGTGCCCGTCGAGGCAGTCGAGGACGGTGCTCGCGTGCGTCTGCATGTTGTGCGGGACGCCGTTGTGGACGCGCGGCGTGGTGCAGTCGAGGATGCACGCGTAGGGCGTGTTTGCCACCTCGGACCACATCTCGAGCACCCCCTCGTTGACGTACTCGCTCGACGGGCCGGCCGCGACGAAGTTGTCGCTGCCCGCGAAGCGCGTGAAGCGGTCGTACCTTAAGGTACCCAATGTACTGCTGCGGCGTCGCGCGGCGGAAGCTGACGACGTCGAGCAGCTCGAAGAGGCGGCGCTCCGAGCGGAGGTGGCAGAGGCCGAGCCGCGCCGCCGCCCAGTAGAAGCAGCCGATGTTTGTCCCCGAGACCATGACCACGAGCACGGGCGGGTTGCTGCCCGGCCCGCCGGCGCCCCAGCCGCAGAGCTCGGTGATGGCGAGCTCGTACTGGAAGGGGGTCTTGCCGCCGGGGAGGGAGACGCCGGCGGAGTTGCACGAGCCGAGCATCTTGTCCGACTCGTCCATCACCACGATCGGCCACGCGGGGCTGCGGCCGCGCCGCCGGCCGCGGTTGAGCTCGTGGACCAGGTCCTGCGCGATGTCGAGCTGGCTGCCCGAGCGGAAGATGACGACGATGCCGCCCTGCTGGCAGGCGTACTTTGCGTGCTGCAGGTTGGCGCGCGAGAGCTCGGCGACCGGCACGTGCCCGCAGTCCACCGCCTCGTCCTCCTCCTCCTCGTCCGACGCCTCGGACGCCCGCTCCGAGGCGGCGTCATCCGAGGTGCCGACGAGGCGCGTGACGTTGCCCTTGAGCGCGCGCGACCAGGCCCGCATCACGGTGACGAGGACGGTGAAGCAGCGGTCGGCGCACTCGTCGCTCTGGTTGACGAGGTGCGCGACCAGACCGAGGAACGCCTCCGCCGCCGACTTGCCGCGCTGCACGTCGCCGTTGACCTGCATCAGCCAGGTGGTGAGCGCGTGCTTGAGTCGGTCCTGCGTCGCGGCGCGGTCGTGGCCCTGCCGGAAGGCGGTGAGCACGTCGGTCACCATCTCGGCCGGGTTGAGCGTCTCGCCGACCTTTGTCCACAGCGCGCCCCCGCTGTGCGCCTTTGCGAGCTCGCGCATGCTGAGCGAGAAGCGGCCGTACTCCGCCTCCTGCATGTCGCGGATGAAGGGGGCGGGGAGGCTGGCGAGCGCGAGCTGCCGGTCCCGCTGCGAGAGGGCCTCCTCCTGCGCGCGGTTGGTCGCCTCGAGCTCGCGGATCCGCGCCCGCTGCGACTCGACCTCGCGGCGGAGGCGCTCGAGGCTGTCGCCGCCGCCGCCGCCGTCGCCGCCGTCGCCGCCGAACGCGACCATCGCAGTGCCCGTGTCGCCGGCGTGGGTTGTTGGCGATGCCATCGTTGCGCCTGCAGCGCGGCGCAGGGGCGGCGTGGGTGAGTGGCTTCAGAGGGAGGAGGCGGCGAGGCGAGGGCGAGAAGGCCGCCTGCGCTGTCTCAGAGGAGCCGAGTCTGGTGTGGTCGCTGCCGCGTCCTGGACGGCGCTCGGGTTTCGTGGACACGGACATGGTGGAGAGCACGGAGGGCAGCATGAGAGCACGGAGGGCCGGCGTGGCGCGGGGAGAGCGGCGGAGGGCGGAGGAGAGCAGGGAGGGCAAGCTCGTCGCAAAGGGCAGGGTTCGGGCTCCTTGCGTGTAGGGTCCGTGTTCACGCCCTCGCCAAAGGCCACACGGTCGTCCTCGTGACCGAGCGAGCTGAGGGTGTAGAGGATGTTGAGTGTAGAGCCCATGAGGGATTTTTACTTTTTTTTGCCTTTTGAGCGACTTGGCGTTTGCGCTCGAGGCGCTCGGCCTCGGTGCCTACAAGCCCGCGTTCGCCGAGTGCGAGTACGTCGACTTGGCCGAGATCCGGTCTCTCGACGACCGAGGCAGGCGGCGCTTGGTCAAGTCTGTGCGAATGAGCGACGCCGACGCGGCGACCTTCCTCTCTGCCGCTGCCTTCCGGCCGCCAGCAGAGCCCGCTGCTGCCTCAGATCCCACGCCGTCGCCGGCCGTCGTCACAGCTACCGCCGCTGCCGCCGCCACCGCCTCCGAGCCGCTGCGCGCTTTCCTTGCAGGCCGCAGCCTCGCCGCAGAAGCAACTGCGAGTGTGCTCGGCGAGGCGGATACCCTTGCACAGCTCGAGGCGCGCGCAGGCGCGTTCCGGGGGCCCAGTGGAGCATTTCATCTGTGGCGTCACCGGTTCTAGAGAAACTTATAATTTCTCAGTGGGGTTTTGACATAGTAGTGGCGAGAGAGAGAGAGAGATTTTTATTAACCAACAAGAAATCACGACTCTCACAGTGATTTGGGCTCGGCAGCTTGTTAGCCCTCACTTGCCCTGACTGCACAGGATAGCGTGCCCCGATAACGGCGACACATAGTGGGGGACACTGCGCAAGGACAGAGGGTGCGAAGCCAAGGTTGGGGTTCTAGGTGGTGGGACCAATGAGGGGGGGAGGGCAGGGTCCTGTGGGGGTGAAATGTTGCGCGGCGAATTCGAACCTACCCCCTCGCCGCGCCGATCCTCACTCGGAGGGTATAAAACCCTGTGGGACAAAACCCCTCCGCGGTCGGCTGTCTTCAGAGTGGACCCCCCCCTCCCCAGCCTCCCCTGTTCGTTTTCGCACCC